AGAGGCGAGGGCAGCACGGGCGGGGGAGGGGGTTTCGGGGGGGGGATTTTGGGGTTTTTTTTGTTGGGTTTCGCCTCCAAAACCTCCTCGAGTTTTTTGCGGGAGCGCCCAAAAAGCCCCCCCGGGGATTCCAGCGAGGAGAAGGAGCCGCGATGAGCCAAGGTAGGAACCGCACCTGGGCGGGCTGGGGGCTCCCGACCCCCGCGTTTGGGGTCCCCGGCAGCGCCGGGAGACCCCCCCGAGCCGCCAGGAGGTTGGGGAAGAATTTGGGGATCCCCTCCTAAAAAAAAGGACAGCGGGGTCACCCTTGAGGTGGCTTTGAAAAAAAAAAAACAAAACCCAAAAAAACCCCAAATTTTTGTGAGAAACTTCCAAAGGTGAGGAGGGTGGGGAGAGGGGGGGAGGTTTGGAAATTTGGGATTTCTTGGAGGTGTGGTGGGGGAAAATAAATTCTGGCCGACGCTAGGGGTGCTGGTTGGCAAAGGCCGGCCCTGCGCTGTCACCGCCGAGCGGAAAAAAAAAGATTATTTTTTTTTTTAAAGGGATGTGGGAGGGGGTTAAAAAATAAAGAAAAAGGCCTGGCTATTTCTAGCGCTGGGGTGGGAGAAAATGGAATAAAAGAAATCGGTGAGGAGCGGGTCGGGAAGGAGGAATAAAATCTAAAAGAGATAAAGGGGGGATTAAGGATAAATTAAAAAGAAAAGGGGCTCGGACCGGATTGGTTCTGTCGGTTTTTGTTTCGTGGCATCCGCGGCCGCGCTGTTGGTTTGGCTCCTCACTTCCCTGGCAGGTTTTGGAGGAAAAGGGGAATTTTGAGCCGCTGCTGCTGCGGGAGGTGGGGAATTTTCTCGGTGCAAAAAAGATTTCGCTGCTCGTGCCGGAAATTCGGTTTTTTCTGAGGGGTCTGAAATGATTTTGGGGTTTTATTCGATGCTTTTGGTTTGTTCTGAAAGCGCCGCTTGGTTATTCTGAGTTTAGCCCGGAGCTTTTAGCAGGAAAAGCGATTATTCACCTGCAAGCACCTGAAAAATCCAGAATGGGGGGATTTTATTGGCCAGAAATCTTAATTTTTTTTTTTTTTAGGGAAAACGCGGCAGTTCTTGGAATCCGCCGAATCTAGTGACAGGAATTGTAAACGCAGCTTTTCCCTGATGCCCTCTCTGCTGCGGCATTTAAATGCAATTAATTCGCGAGATACTTGACCTGAAAATGTTCTGCCTTTTGAAAAACACACACACCAAAAAAAAAAAAAAAAAAAAAAAAAAAAAAAAAAAAAAAAAAAAAAAAAAAAAAAAAAAAAAAAAAAAAAAAAGGGGACAAAC